CAGATTGAAATCGCTCCAATTCTGAGAATTTTCGTAAATAAAATATCTGTAGTTTGCGATGAGATGAAGCTATTTACAAAGTTTCAGCCGGATGTTGTTAATTCGATAAAAAGAATACTGTACCTAGTGTTGCCCAAAATTAACAATATAATCAGTTGATTAGAGATTTTCGTTTAATAGTGTTAAGAGCACACATTTCAAGTAAACAAAGAGTATTTAAAGATAGTGTAGTAAAAACAAATTATGTTACATATAAGTACTGTAATGTATATTCATAATTCAGCTTTTGTTGCCTATTCTTTCAAACAGATTTATTAAAATGTTAACATTGAAACCCTTTAAGGAACTAAATGAGTAAAGCACTGACATGTTATGCTCAAGGCCCCGGATCTGGCCCAGTTGTGGAGGGTAATTATTTCTTTTGATATATCAGCCGTGTAACGCCCTTGAAATCGGGAGACCCTCCTAGGACTCTTCTAGCCTCAATAAAGTGGACATTTTAATTAAATAATTAATTAAGGTTGAAAACCTGGCGATTGAGCATGATCTCTATGAGTGTTGCCCAAAATCGGTCTTGGTCTTACACTTTGCAAGACCAAGTCCAAGGCCATTTAACTGTTGCAAGACCAAGACCAGAACTGGTAAAAAAATCGATTTTTCAATACAAATTAATTCTAAATTGTTACCAATACTTGTAAACTTCAGTTACTATTTTTAAAGAATTAGTATAACCAATATACTTTTAGTATACCAATATACAAGGCAGGTAATTTTACTTTAGATGTATAATTGTTTGGAAATAATAAACCTTTGTGAAATAATTTGCATCATTTTTCATTCGGGCTTAGTTAAGTTTCTCATATCAAAAAAGTTACTGTTAAAATTACTATAGTAATAAGCTAATAGGTAACTGCAAGACAGTTGCGAGACTCTTGCGCAAGACCAAGAACAAGAGGAAGAAGGAGTGCGTAAGACCAAGACGAGTCTTGGTCTCGCATTTGGGCAACACTAACTGTACAACGGACTATACACTTTTCCTCTCTATTTCATTCCCCCACAATCTTCTTCAGCTCAAATGGTCAAGTTACATCTGTAAATCAAAGAATGTCCTAAAATGGTACCTAATAACGAAAGGGGATAAAAGGGTTCGAAAAACGATGAGCGATGAGAAAGCGGCACATCGCACTCCATTAGGTCCCCCCTCCCCAATTCGAATAACTGAGGTTTAATATGTTCTGGGAAAGGTTGCACCCTTCCGAACCCCTGGCCATATCTTTTTTTTTTTTTTTAATCAATTCATTGCACACCGCTTTGCAATTTATGAGTGATGGTCGGGAAATTCGTATGAAGGCTACTACGATATTATTGACACTGGGCTGAGAGTGGGGGGGGGGCGGAAATATATAATCTGAAAAAAAGAAGAAAAAAATATAGCCTCGATTGTAATCAGAGTTATGGCACCGGGAAGGGCTAAAAACTCTGGCTTAATTTTGCCCGTAGTCGTTAAATCATACAAGCGTTGGTTCTGATTTATCCAGTCTGCTCCAGCATGCTCCTGAATATTCCATTCAACGGCAAAACGTGGGCTTTTTGGCCAGCAACTTCATCCCTGCAGAAAACGAAACATATGACTCCGTCAGGCTGGTAGGAAATGGCAAATATTTTAAATATGCAAGGAGGGATAGATCTAAGAGGTTGAAGCCGAGAACTATTAACGATGCATCTTAGCCGGCTAAATCCATGTGGAGTGCACATTCTCAATATTACCTTATGTCATTAAAAAGTTCGCCAATTTTTTAATATTTTAATTTAAAAATAATACATTTTGCCACACTTACGAGCACTGAATATTAGAGCTGAGTGCGGCACATTTATACAATTTATATAATTCAATAATCATTTCGCGTATGCTGTAAACGGGTTATGTATTTGAAATCTGAAAAATATTTCTCTTATCTTTTTACATTCTTTGGTATACTTGGAAATAAAAAAATAAAAAAACCTGTTGAAAGTATTTTTATATATTATGTAACTAAGAATACGAAACTGGATTCGAGCACAGCAGAAAGAAGGAAGATTCCATAATTGTATGGGGCCATATGCAATGGTGGAGCCCTCATTAACTTTCGGAGCCACTTTACAAAAAAAATAATGATGAAGAAGAATAAATAATAATAAAAAGAAAAGTGGAAATTGATGCATGCGACTTTTAACGAAGTCTTGGTTATAATTAAGGCGAAATCCCTCAGCGAGTGGCCGCCATGTTTAATTACTAGTTGGTGAGAGGATCCACTTCAATATTATTAATATATAGAGGGGGTTCTAGTTAATTACTAAATATATACATAACGCACTAGAGTGGGGGTTGTGAGAGCTGGAGTGGGAGTGGGGAAGGAAGGGACTTACTATACTGCGTATAAGAAAGCTCAGCTGATTGGGCTAATAAACAGATAACCATGTTTACACGGAGACATCTTCTTTCGTGGTAGAATCGTCGGCTTGTAGTTTATTTGTATGCATGTAGACAGTTAGGAAAATGTTGAATATAAAACAGCTGTATCAAAGATCAGAAGAAGCTGATTTTCATTGGCGCAGACTTCGACCTTTCGCTCATTGGATAAAAATATGGGCTGGGCGAGAATATTGTTTCGCCACTCCACAATGATACGAAGTAAAAATAAACTATAAATGATCTACAAGAATAGACAAAAAAAAAAAATATATATATATATATATATATATATATATATATATATATATATATATATATATATATATATAGAATAGAATAGAATCGAAAAGAAGCTGGTTCGGGTGTTACATACAAAGTAAGAATAAAGTATATTTATTTTTGCGGAAGTTTCGGCCTAAAGTTCCTAACTTTGTAACCGTGAAGTTATGTTATGTATCCTAACTTTACTTTCGCTACTTTCTGTTCCTAACTTTGTTATCGTTATTTTTACTTCATATTTCTGCCTCTCCTCTTTTGTATTAATGTTGAGTCTATTCTATCTACATATTATAATTATTTTTATTTTTACAGTTAATAGTTTCTCATAACTATTGTTATCTTCTATATTCTTAGCCCTGATGATGGCTTGAACTTTGGGCCGAAAGTTTAGGCGCTATAGTCTATAGCAACGCAGGTTTTTCGGTCGCCATCTTGGAAGTAAAAGGCGAATAAATATGTCGATTAAGGAGGTTCATCCTTCGGTGATCTCTTATTTTAAATCTAAATTTGAAAAAAAAATCGGTCCAGTAGTTTCGGAGAAAATGTGCGGACGGCTGACTGACAAAAAAAGTTTTTTTTTTTTTTCGAATTCTTCGTATCCTGAAACGTAAAACCTCAAATTTTGAGAGGGGGTTAAGTTTTTGAAATTTTTGTTCTGTTACAATGGTTCATTATTAAAAAATTGACCCCATCTTCCTCCACCTGCATGCCTTACTAGTCCACTAATGTTAGGGATTGAACCCAACATTCAAAAATTAACTTTTAGGGGCAAAAAATCCTTTATTTTATGAAAACCCGAACTTACCGTAATTACCGAACTCCTTAAAAGTTCACTATAAATAATTTTAAATAACGCAAAATTTAATTTTTAATGCAAGTTATATCTAGGTTACTATGAAATAATTGGTTCTAATCTAAAATAAATATTTTTTTAGTTATTGCCTTTTATTCAACAAATACGTGATTAACTTAGAAAATACAAAAAGTTTCCTAAATATCTCTATGAAATCAGACCATGGTTTATAATAAATGTTTTGTAAGTTTTAAAATTTTATTTTCTTGTAGGTTTTAAAGTCACATAATATCAGTTATATGAAATAAATGTCAATCGAAACGTCATATCAATATAACGAAATTCCACATTGATTGAAATCTTATATAATTGTTTTGTCTATGACATTCTAGAATCGTCGAAACAAAAAAAAAAAATTAATAATGATTCGGACGATAGAAAATGTTAAAAAAACGAATTTAACTTCAAAATGATATCATCTACTATGAACAAGATCAATGTCCGAGTTTGGGGAATTTATTGCTTTAAATGGAAATACAATAAACTTAATCTCATAAATATCTCTGTAACTATTGTTTAAAAAAAAAAATGTATGGGATCTTTTTTATAGATGTCAGTATTTTGTACTCTCCTCCTCCCCCTTTCCTCTCCCATCTTCCCATCAAAATCCGATACCGGATTCTTTGGGATTTTTTACCGGTTATTATGGGGAGGTTGATGATCAATTTCTGATAAGTTTCATCTTTATTTTTTTAATGTTGACATAAAGCTGTTTTTTCTCCCTAACTTTGTGGTAACCTACACCTCCAACATTTCAAAATAACGAGGTTAAGTACACCAAACGGCCAAATATATTTGTAGGTCACCTTTTTTCTCATATGATATCAGATGGGTATTTACGAGTTTTCAGTATCTAATTAAATAGACAAAATTTACCGATCTCCAGTTTTTGTTAATAAAATAGTTGAGTGAAATAGATGAGATGAAGCTCTTCACGAAGTTTCAGACTGATGTTAATAATTTTATAAAAAGGGGTCTGTACCACGGACTAACATACCACCTTGTCTTCCTTTCTCCATGTTAGCTCATAAACCATTTTTTAGTTGACTCCTCGCCAGGTTATTATATTATAAAATGATTAATGATGATTGATCATTCACTCAACATGATGATTTTTTGCCCAAAACGTCTCATCTGAGGAACATACATAATTTTGTTGAGTTTTGTTTAATTGGAAACAGCCGAGCAGCAATGAACAAGCCCCCACCTGGAACCAGAGCTACAATCGGGCTCCCGTAGCAGTGATGTTTTCAATTAGGATCCGTTTCTTCCTGCCTCGAGTTTATGTTATGCTCCCATCGACCCGCCAGTTATACCCCTTCCTCGCAGATGGGCAATCAAACCCCGCCTCTGATTATATTAGGGCATTAGAACTCTAATCTCGAGAGCTAATTCGCTCCAATTACAGACAAAAAATTAAGCCCCGGGGGCGGCATTAAGGTGAGAGCATCGAGGCCTGATTAAACTCAGCCGCTGCTTCAAGTCTTTTGTCTCGAGGATATTAGCCTTGTAAATCGTCGAGCGACCGCTTCTAATTAGAAGCGGAGGTGGCGAGCTCTGGAAGGGAATCCTGTAAATGATTTAGATAGGAGCTGCTTCGGAGGACTCTACTGCGATTTATGGACATTAGGGAAGGAGCAGACCTCTGCTTCTTGTGGCTCTTCGTTATCCTCGATGGCGGGACAAGGGAGGTTCTCTTCGGCTTGGACAACATTTTTCGCTTCTAGTTATCCGACTTGTTATCTTCTAATCAATGCTGCTGGAATGAACCTGAAGATAGCACAAACATGTAGGGGGGCGGGGTGGCCGAATGGGCTAAAGCGTGTGCACAGCATCGCAAGTTGCCTGGCAACCAGATTATAGATTTGAGAAGATTAAAAAGTACGAGTTCGCGTCCCGGTGTCGGAGGGGATTTTAAATCCCCAGCCCTCACCACGGGGAAAATCCCGTATAGCCGAGAAAGAGATAGGGAAGGACAAAAAAAAAAAAAAAAAAAAAAAAAAAAGCACAAACATGTATAATTAGATTGAGCCGTAAAATTTCTTTGAGTAAAGTCGGCTGAAGTCGTTTAATTGAAGTGTTTTTGCATATTGACTAAAATATCTCAAAAACTAAAAAATCGAACTTGATTACTGAAAGCGAGAAAAATGTTCAGCATTTCCTCCTCTTTATAATGTGCTATTATTTATTCTTTATATTTCATATTATTTATGTTTTCTCTTCTATCGTGTAGTCCGAAACACTGACCTTAGTTTTTTAAAAGTATTTTTTTGTCACTAGGATATATAGGATAGGGTGATTGGACCATTTGTAAGAAGATTATACACTCCTTTACGTACGAGAGATAAACGCATCCTTCGAAATTTAAAGAAAAAAAGAAGTGGAAAACATTTTTTTTTCGAATAACGCAGAAACGCATTTTATTTTTTTATTGTACTTATGATTATTTGAATGATTAATACATTCGCTACAACTTTTTTTTATTAAATTCTTCATCCGCACCTGTCATGGCAGTGACAATTAGCAGATTTGTTGTTAGGTAGAAAATGGCATGATAGGCATGACAAAGAATGGAACCCAGCAGCACCTCTTCCCTGTTTAAATCCTAAAATCAAGAAAGGAGATCTCTCATCTATCTCCTTTTCAGTTGCCTCCTGATGAGCATTTCAGCCGTGGCCATGTCGTTGATAAGTCCAAGTAGGTTTATTATTATTACATTTTCTCTCAGTTAAATTTACATTCTTTAGGTGATATTATGAGTAAAATGTACCGACCGAAGATAAACTTTTGCTTTAAAATTTTACTAAAGCTCCAAGGCCATTGATTTTTTTTTTCAGAAATCACAAAATGTGTGTTAACTTCATCTATCCATCCTCTAGAAAATTTGCAAGATCTTAAGACCACATTAATTACACGAAACGACTAATCGAAATCGGACCACTATTAGCAAAGAAACGAGTTATTGTAATTTATGAACATGAGGTTTAGAACATGAATGAAGTTTTAAAATAATGTTATTTTTTTTATGTAAATTTCAATTACTAATCAAATAAAAAATGATTCTTCCATCTTATTATAGTTATAGAATTTATTGATTTTTTTCTTCTATGCCTTATTTTAATTTGAAAATATCTGAACAAAACAATTGAATATATTACATATAATGAAGAGTGAATGAACCATAAAATCCTAAATATGTTTAATAAAGGATATATTTTTAACTCTTCCCAATTGGTTTTGCTACATTATAATATATTGACCCTATTCGCCGGACATATTCTTTCTCTTTCACTGATTTCCAACTATTTCAACCTACTTCTCCTACAATATTCAGGTGTCTCAGTTAATTTTCCAAAAAACTTGCAATTTTCCAAAATTTTCAACAAAAAAAACTTTATATAATGTATTGGCCGATCCCGATCGGAAAAGGAATCAAGATTAACTTGTTTTTTTTTTTTAAGGTGGTGAAGGTTTTTATTTAAAGGAAAGGATTGCTCGAAAACTATTCAAGATAATTAAATTGAAAGTACACCAGCGTAAAGTAGACAAAATTTTCTTTAAGGATTCAGAATTTCAATCAATAAAGATCCATGATAAAAGTGACTTCCAGGAGGTCTAATACACTGCTGGAGTTACAGAACTGATACCCAACCAGCATATCTCTTTAATCCATATTCATGAAATAATTAGGTATAATGGTAGGCTTTGCGTTATTAGACCTCCTGAAAGTCTCTTTTATCATTGGCTTTAGTAAAATTAATCTCTGTTTTCACAATGAAAATTTCGTCTGCTTTACGATAGTGTACTTAAAATTTAATTATCTTGAACAGTTTTTGAGCAATACCTTCTTATTAAAAAAAAATCTGGTGGGTTCACTCTCACGACTTTCCTACCTATTTCAGAAAGGTTTTTATATCTATGTTCATGATGAAACAAAAACAAATTTTGAACTAGATTTATATTCCTGAAAATTGATCAAAGAAAAGATCTGAGTTTGATTTATTTGATAACTAAACCGGCTTAAGGTAGATCAGTGTAAAAATTTCAATACTCACTAATATTGCTGATCAAAAACTTTTTGACATAGCTGAGTATTAGTATAAGATTATAGCTTAGTATAAGATTGTGTGATGCGTGCGGATTTTCTTAATTTCACATAGTCATCTTTTTTCTCTCGTTCAACCCTTTCTGACACCAGGAAATAAACTCGTAATCTTTCATTGGAATAGCTGTAACTTCGTTAATAGTTTTAAAAAATGAACGATTTTTATATAGTTTTGTAGGAAATTTCACTTCCTTTAAAAAAAAAAAAAAAAATGCTAAACGGTGTTTAAGCGTATAGATCCATCGAAAAATACAGTCTATAGCAAAAAATGTTTTTCATTTATTGCGCGCAAGCTATTGCGCATGGAGCACCGAATTTCTGTCACAGGAATCAGTTGGTAAAACTCTATAAAATAAAAAAGAAGCAACAAAATCGGTTCAGTAGTTTCCGAGAAAATCTTGGCACAGAGAGACAGACTGACCAATGGCTAAAAATGTGTTTTTCGGACTCAAGTGGCTGGGATACGTACAGATCCGTCGAAAACCACATGTCGGAAATTTTACCCGATCGCAATACTTTTCTTACCTAGTATAGGCAGGAAAGTAAAATCACAATTGTTCTTAACTCATTATCGGTTCGGAATTGGTCCATAAGTCAAATAAAATTATTTGTTGGAAATTGTGTCTAGAATCATTCCCCATAGTTTGGCCCTTAATGAAGAGAAATCTTGTATAATTAATTAAAATTTGAAGGATATACATATTTTTACCCTTAACTCCCCTTAGACGTCATATGCTACTACACACAATACGCTGCTGTTACAGTACGATATACATATATACTTCGTAGAGCTGACCGTATGTTTGGCACTCGAGAACACCTCAGCAGACTCCCTCCAGCGCGAACAAATTGCCGCCACACCCTCGGAACCCCCTCGGACTCCTGGAGTGAAGTTGTTCTTTATTGCTTCCTCTACTCTCCTGGGAGCAGCCCCGCCTCCAAAGTTTTGGCAGGAGTATCGGACACCCCAGGTAGGGCTGCATTCCTCGAGGGTGCAGTACGAGACGATTAGTAGTTCCGGGTCTGTCATTGCATCCTTTGCAAAGGGGCTTGATGCCGACACTCTATTGGGGAATGGGGATTGATTTTGGCCGATATTACTAAGGAAAAGTTTTCTCTTTACAGCCTACAGACAGACAATTTTCGGGAAAAACTACTGTGAGAATCAATAAAGGTCATGAGTGCTGTAAGGCGTTAATCACTTTAAAATTCTCGATTCTAGCGACACTGGTTCGAATCCGGCCTCGGCGAAATTAAATTTATTTCATTGCGGAAATTAAGGACAATAGTGTTCGTACACCAGTTTTAAGATAAATAGCGTATTGTTATTAACATTAACAAGGTTTAATTTAAAATAATGAATCTTTATTATAATGACATCAACACGTATCGAAAGAGAAGAACGGGATGAAGGAAATGGACAGGACGGTAAAAGGAAATGAGAAAAAAAAGATTAAGAAGAATTGGGTTAAAAAGAAATAATGATATTTTCTTAGCTGGCCTTTATTGAAAAAACAAATTAAATTAATACACTAATGAAAAACATGTATTAATCATATTGATCGCAAAACATTATCATAAAAACTAAGTTAAAAATAAAAACCAATATTAATTTTCATAGTGGTGATGAACTGACTTAATTCTGAAAATTCTTTTACAGGCCCAATTTCTTTTCAGATTTTAAGCTATGACTTCGATTCGATATAACTTTTATTTCGATATAGCTGAGTCTTTGTTTTAGCGATATGTGTAATAGAGTTTTATTATTTCGCAGCAATAATTTACTTTCTTAAACCCATTTGGACCTCTGCTTCACAGATATAAAGACAAAAGACTCACATACGTAAACTACTGATTTTTCAATCAAAAACTTTCAGGACTATAATCGAAGCTCCCTGGGACGTCAGTAACATTACATTACATAAATACTTACAGATGCCAACAGTTAGCGACCACATACGAACACATTATAAAAGATTTCACAATAACTTACACGGACATACCAACTCACTGATTCAAGGCCACAACCAACAATCTTGATGGCACCAGTAGGAGGCTGAAAACAAGCTGGATGAGAGATCTCTTCCACTATAATAATAGACCAATATAATAATGACCAAGATAATAATATAATAATAGACCAACGACCTCGATCAGGCAGAAAAAGTGGAAAGGGAGAAAAAACAGATATATGAGAAATGCATCCCTTTCCTTAGTGAAAAGTTCCGCGAGAGTTTCGGGCCGAGAGAATTCCACGTGAGAGGCCTTTGGTTCGGAGCTCGCGGAACGATACCAGACTCAACAAGGAGCTTCATGGAGGGCCTTGGTGTCGACATAAAGGACGTGGCAAGGTTGGCAGAGAGTATAATCCTCGACTCCCTGGGAATCATCCACCACCATGTGCATGGGAGCGGATAGGGGGAGAGTTTGCTCGCGAGGGGGAGGCATGCGTGTGTTACAGCATTTTTTATATTATTATTTATTGAACACGTCCACTGTACTTTATGAATTTTTTATGTATTAGGTTAGAAAGAGAGAGGAGAGAATGTGAGTGGGAACATGTATAGGGGGAGAGAAGGAAGAGAAAGGGTACAGAATGATAATAAATGAATGAAAGAAATAGTAAAAATTATAAAAAAAAAAAAAAAAAAAAAAAAAAAAAAAAAAAAAAAAAAAAAAAAATAATATATATATATACGTATAAAATATTGTATACTATGCTCATACATATTGTTAATCCTATAATTGTATAATAATTTTAAATAATGTCTGTAGTGATTAATAGGTATGCTGTGTTGTTAGCAACCCAATGTAATTGGGCAGCACCATTTTATTTATTTTATGATAATAAAGTGATTCTCTCTCTCCTAAAATCAAGTTAGAAAGAGACGCCGCGGGGCACAGACGGACGCTGTACGATACCTCGTACTAATATTAGACCGAAAAATGGCCTGGGGCCCACACGTCAAAATGAAAAGAAGGACTTTGAACCAGCGACTGAAAATACTGTACTCACTTTTTTTCTAAATCAAAATTAAAAATTAGACAAAAACTAAATACATAAACTTACCTGCTCAAACCCATTTAGACAAACGCCTCACAGATTTATGTTTCAGCTAAAAAGACTCACTTACAAAAACTACAATCCTTTCAATCTAAAATTTTAATACCAATAACTACAGCCCCCTGGTATGTCAACAACAAGACTCTACATACCGACCTAAGACAACCAACCATTTACCAGCACATACGTACTCTCTACTCCCGATTTCATCTTAAACTACACGGACACCATAATGGACTTATCAACGACATGGCTGAAATGCTCATCAAAAGGCAACTGAGAGAGAACTCGATGAGAGATTTCCTTTCCTGATGTAACCAGACCAGGGAAGAGGTGCTGCTGGGTTCCATTCTTCGTCATGCGTATCTTGCCATTTTCTACCAAACAACAAATCTGCTAACGTTGTCTTGAAATAAATTAGTTATTCCACAATTTTAGTCTGTTTATGACGACCACCCCGGACCATCTGCTCCCTCTAACATATTTTATTATTTCATTACTTCCTTAAAATGAAACAATTTTCGAGAGATTACTTAAATTCACAAGCCTTAATTCGAGAAACTTTTTCTCGTTTTACGAAGTTGAAATCTCTTTTCTCGACAATGATACCCGATATCATTATTTCCCCGTTGCTCCGGCCTCTGATATATGAGATGAAGAACTTCAGTGCGGATACAATTCGGCTAAAGTTTTCCAATCCGACCGCAATCCTGGCAGCACAGAGCATTAAGGAGAGAACTCAGATTAATCCGAAATCGTGTTTTGATGATGTTGAATAAATCTGATATATTTTTTTTTGTTAACTTGCTTGAGGTGAGATTGTGGTTGGGATTAGGAGGCGGCTCGGGACTGAGCTGGTTCTAACTCACCATTTGCAAGGCCCGGTAATGGCCGTAGTAACAAAAAGTTGTAACATAAATATGGCGGGTCTTTGGGGTCTTGTTGTAGCTCGGTCGGAGTTAAGTGCCAAAGTTCTCCGCCGGTCTCAAATATTAATCAAGAGGGGGGCCCCAGAACAGGTGGTGGCCCCAACGAGAATTTTTGAACTCGTTAACACCATCGCGTTTCCTAAAAATAAATTTATGGCTTTCTTTTCACCGAGAGTTATTAAATAATGTCAATTTTTTATTATTTCATAACAATTTAACATCAAAATTAACATTACTTCCCATGTCACAAGAAGGAAAATAAATAAAAAGAAATTCAAAACAACAATGACGTTATTAATTATCTTTTTTCATTGATAATTTGCTATAAACAATAGACAATCTTGCTTCAATTAATAAAAAACTTTCAAAAAATAAATAAATACATAATTTAAATAAATTATATAAGCTTTGCAATAGAGCATATAAAAATATTTAGAACACCATATCTTTGTACCAAATTGGCCAATTTCAAGGATATTTTTTTTTTTTGATAATTCGTAAACTTTTAAACAACTAGACAACATCAACAAAAAAGTATATACTTCTTGAGTTATTGGGAACTAATTTTACCACCCCTCGTAACTTTTTTTCCCGCTTCTTTTGGTTGAAGTATAGATAAATTTAAACGGAATCGTGGTGAAGTAACCTAACTAAGCCCGAATAAAAAATTATTTGAATTAAACGCAAAAGTGTATTGATTATACCAATTATTAACATATAGTAACTAAGATTGTCAAGTATTAGTAACTATTTTGCCTTAATTTTTATTTAAAAAAATCAATTTTTTTACCATTTTTTGTCTTGGTTATGCAAAATGATCTATTTATTTAGTGACCTACAATAAATTTTTGATTCTTAGCATAAATTTTTTTTAAACCTCTCGCAGCAACACAATTCTTCCCTACCTTTGGTAGTGAGGAAGCAAAAGTTAAAAAGAAGAAGAAACAATAAATTAATGGTTAAATTAACTTTCCTAAAATCCCTAAAAAAAAATTGAAATTTATAACATAAATCTAGTAAAGATGTAGTTCAGGGGAATTTGTAGGTATGTTTTCTCTCTTATTGTTGTAAATAGACTTATTTTAATCTCCAAGGTTAAGGAAATTAATTTCTCCCTCTGTTAATACATTGCATTAACTTATTCCCAAATTATTTTCTAATTTTGGTGGTTGGCAATGGCCAGCTTTTCCACTCAAGTCATGAGTGTTTGTGGTTTTAGTGCCCTCTCTCAGTTTCCACCGGACTGGTAATGCCGGCGACGCGGTTGAGAGAGAAGCGCTGGGATCTCTTAGAGTCTCGCTTTGTCCTTCACACTTGGGGGAAAGGGCTGGACTCGGAGATCTCTTATTTAATTTTGCTACGAATGTCTGTATTTCATTTAATTTTAACTCTAAGTTACATTTCCTTAGTTTATTATAGTTTTTGCCTTTGTTATATAGGTGTATATATTTTTTTTATTTCTTTTTTTTTTTTTATGGTATTGTATATATGGTATGAATGTGCCTCACTCAGCCTTAGTACACAGTGCCCTTAAGTGTGGTAAAATGTATTATTTCTCAATAAACAGATAAAAAAAAAAAAAATTTTTGGACAAATGTTTGACTGTTAGAAGTAGAAAATTCAGATTTTATTTTGGGCGGAGTCTTTTTCTTTTTAATAACAGTAATTATTGTTAAAAAAAAATACCTATATAAAATTATGATTAAGTTCTTGAAGGAAAAAATAAATAAAAATTGATATTACAGAAACAATAATGATTTTAGAGAAAAATTTCTTATATGTTTTCGTGCCTCACGTTTAAGTTTAATAGCTATCTATAGATGTATTATAATTCAAAAAGATAACATATTGTCGTTGTTTCAGTATTTATCTTAGATATTAAAAAATATAGACTAAAGAAAACAACATCATTATCCTATTTTAGGGGGCTTCAGCCCGAAAGCCTGCCTCCTTCTCCCCTTAGATCACCCAGTGGCTTTAGATAATAAAGCAAGACTATTTTTTCAATTTATTTTGTTATTTATTCAGTGACCTATACTAAGGAAGTTATTCACACGGAGCGATTATACAAATATAATAGCATTATTATTTGTAATATTGAAAGCCTTATACCAATTACGATTACAAACGAAGTTGACCCGAAAACGACACCCCTTCCAAATTACGGCAGATACCTGGAGTCTGCCGAACAAACATCCCACGGCGCTAATGACCCGCTCCATATCCACGCACACCTGGAGTCGCGGCTCCTTTGATCTTCTGGAGGACCGCGATCTCAGGATTAAAATATTCTACAAGAATCTTGAAGCGGCGCCTCTGGAAGCAGGTGAGTTCCTTTCAACTCGACCGCATTCCTAGATCGTCCTCCAGGAGGGTGATTATCGCTGGACAAAGAGAATCGTCTGCGCAACAGCAGAGGTAGGATAACGTAAAAAATGACGTACCGTTTTGTGCTTTTGTGGTTCTGAATAATTTCTGGAGGAAATGGAATCATTTGCTTCGGGGGCTGGCCCATCTTGCGGTCGTGGAATTGGATCGAACCCAGTTTTTTTTTGTTTTGTTTTTTTCAACTAGACCACAGCAGTCAGCCGCCATGATGGGAGGTATGGCTGATATCGCCTGGTTTGTTATACGTATATTGAGGGCATACTACTATTTACAAATGTATGTTTTCATTAATAACCTTTCTGTGTTATTTTCATTATTATTATATTTATATAAATTACAAAGAATCCATATGTTACTATCGCTTGATTTTGGTACTACTATTTAATACCACACTTACATCCGAATCGTCTTCAGGAGAGAAGAGAAAAAATGATAGTAAAACTAAAATCAATAAATAATACGCTGCAAATGATTGCACAATGGTTTATTATTTCCAAACAATTATATATCTAATGTAACATTACCTTCTTGGTAACATAATGGAAAATAAACAAAAGGTGATTGCTATTATTAGCCTAAGTATATTTGTTTCATCATTAGTAACTTTCTATGAGGAATAACATTGCTTCAGTAACACTCAAAAATCAAAAAAAAAAAAAAAAAAAAAAAGGATATCAAACAAAGGACCTTTGCAGTAGAACATATAAAAAATATCTAGACACTATATCTTTACTCGAAATTTGTCCGATTTCAACATTTTTTTTTTGTATTTTGAAAAATTTGTAAACTTGTAAATAACCGTAGAATATTCACAAAAAAAGTGTAAGCTATTATGGTTATTCGAAAATCTAATTTTACCATCCTTCTTAACTTTTTTCCAGCTTATCTTTATTAAATTATGTTATATATACCAATTTATAGGGCACCGAGAAGAAGGCTTTATTGAAGGAACCAC